TTCACCATGTTGGTCAGGCTGGTCTTGAACTCCTGACCTCAGGTGATCCACCTGCCTCAGCCTCCCAAAGTGCTGGGATTACAGGCGTGAGCCACTGTACCCAGCCTCTTCTTCAACAGAAAAGAAAGAAAATGAAACTATGTAAGTTCAGCTATGTGCAGGGATGCTTTAGAAATAACATTTAGATTTTTAATTTGTATTAGATTCTTTGGACCTAGTACTGTATTTCTCACAGTAGCATTTACCCAATTTCTTTTGGATCTTACGTATGACAGTTCAGCAGTGACATTTCCATGGTATTTTCTTAACTTCTTTAGGCCTCATATTTCCTATCTGTAGAATGAGGTAGTTAGATTAGATGGTCTCTAAATCCATATGTCTACAAAGAATATGAATCTTTGAAAAATTGTTTTCTTCATCTGGATCACAAGCCACTATCAATCTATGAGAATCTGCACTGGAGTTGAAGAAACTAGCTTTATTCACGAAATCAAATTTCATTTGCCTAGAAATGTTCAGCTTACAATATCTGACATGAACTCTTTGGAAGCTCCTCTATTGCATTATTCTGATGCTTAGAGCATCAATATGCTGGGACACTCCCTTGCCTAACCCCTGTGCCCAGGGGCCCTGCCTGAGGACGCTGGCAGGATTCTCTAGCTTGCTCTGAAAAACAATGCCTTTGCTGTAGCCACTCTTCTGGTTGTCCTTTTATAGCCTGTCCCCATTTCAGTGATTCCCCTGCAAGCTGAAGCATGCAGCAATTAGAGCAGTTTTTCTATTCTTTTTCATTCCCAAGGCCCTTTCCTAGACTTTCATAATGCAAGACACAAGGACAGACAATTATTATTTCTAGGCTTCGGATATCTGTGCAGAGGACCAGAGTCGAGAAAGGGAGCCTTGACTGTGGTAGGCCTGAATGTGTTCTAATTTTGGACATGACCTCAGAGTGAGCACTGAGCCTGGCCCACAGGCCAGAGACCCACAAACAACATGGCTGCCCGTCTTGCCCACCTGCCTCACACAGTTTGTCCCATAAAAGCATTAAATTAGGAGACAGAAACCAATGGTGCAGAGTTTTGTTACTGCATTGCACATCTTCTGAGTTCTCAAATCCATATTTTCAATTATCTAATGGATACTCAAGTCCAGGAGATGCCTCACAGTCCTCACATTACAAAACAGAACAAACACCTCACATCACCTGCAAATCTCAACCTGGCCTTGTTTACTAACTGGGAGATTTTTAAATCATAAGAATCAAGTAGGATCTTTGCCCATGTATTTTGTAAGATTTTTTCACCTACCACAAAGTTGTACTCACGTCTTCCTCAATTCATCCTTCTCCCTCAGTCTCTATTTACAACTGGTTATTAAATTCTGTTGACTTTATCTCCTATGTATCTATTTTTTTAAGATTATGGTAAAATATGCATAACAAAACTTACAATTTTAACCTTCTTTTTGAGACGAAGTCTCACTCTGCTACCCAGGCTGGAGTACAGTGGCGCAATCTCAACTCACTGCAACCTCTGCCTCCTGGGTTCAAGCAATTCCCAGGCCTCATCCTCCTGGCAGCTGGGACTACAGTCACCCACCACCACACTCAACTAATTTTTGTATTTTTACTAGAGATGGGGTTTTGCCATGTTGGCCAGGCTGGTCTTTTTAACTCCTGACCTCAACTGATCCACTTGCCTTGGCCTCCCAAAGAGCTGGGATTACAGGCGTGAGCCACCACACCCAGGCCTTAACCTTTTTTTTGTTTTGTTTTTGAGTCGGATTCTCACTCTGTTGCCCAGGCTGGAG